AGCTTGGATTTGTCTTGCAATCAAAGGGTGCTCTAAAATATAATCACTTCCTGAGTGAATGGGCCGAAACATGTCCAAACTTTCTGTTTACCACTCAAATGGTCTTCCCAAAAAGTTTGAAGCCAACGAACCCAGGAAGCGAGAATTTGTTGTTGTTGCTCCTATACGTGGGTGCTTTCCTAAATACACGGGTGTCTCCCTGCTTTGACTTTGAGATCCTTTCAACCCCCTCCCCATGCCCTAGGGATGCTACCAGGACAACCTAGAACTATTGCGCTGATCACTTGAACATTGAATTGGTGTATGGGCCTGTCTCAAAGTGGGTCACAAGAACCAGCAAATCAAATCCGAACTACCGGGCTCCAATCCGCTATTTAAGGCCTACCTGCTCTCCTTTGGGCAAAACCAACTCCCCTGTTCGAGCGCGTCCCAGAAACCAAAGGCTCCAAACCGAAGGCTCCCCTGAGGTTGCTTGCTTCCAAGACATCCTGGGAGGATGAGTGGGTTCCCGAGTTTGTTCTGCCATATTTTAGCCCGCAGTGTACCGAGCCCATGCACCATCTAATCTAAACTCTTCGAGCGAACCTCATAGGAGCTCAATCACCACGGTCAGGTCAGCAGATGTACCTGGGCCCTCAAACTACCCTTACAAAAGGGAAACCACCCAATCATTTTCAGCAACCATCTCATGTTCAATGGTATTTGTTTAGGGTCGAGGTACTTCTTTTGGAGTTGGGAACCCCACTTTCCAGGATGCGCTTTGAAAAGGATTACGCCTGAGAAGCAGAGCCAAAGCCTACAAGAAGCCCACCCCGGGGTTCTGATCTGATCGAGTCCAGTCGGCAGTCGCCTCTAACGCCTCAAATTTTGGACTCGAAAAGTCAAGACACTCGCAACATGGGGGGCTCTTTTATCGTTCCACTCCGGGTGTCAACTAGACACTTAAAAAAAAAAAAAAAAACTAAACACTTACCCGTCCGACGTGTCGTTTGTTTTGAGACAACATAACCATGGTGCTTTTGACCTGCTTCTCAGGGTGTACAAACCTTTTTTTTGGCGGGGGTTCAACGAATGACTTGCGACCAAGGGAACTGGTCACCCAACCTCTAGTGGATATGGGAGAAAGATGTAGAAAACAGTGACCTAGACCCAAACCATCGACCTGAAGGGGAAAACACCATTTGAAACAAGGAGTTGCGCCGGTTCGCGCTTGCCATTCTTTGGACTATAGCCTCCAGGATTCCCCAAAAGGAAGGCCGGCCGCGAAAGGTATCTACCCCTTGGGTTAGTCAAGCACTGCTAGGCCTCTCCCCCCATGGTTTAACCAAAATAAGACCCCTACATACGGCCTCGAGGCCCTTTGGAGGAAACATGTCAAGCAAGGCGCAGTTGTTGGATCCTGGACATCACCAAACGACAAAACATCACCCCTGGTGGAAGACTGGTTGTGTCTAGGTCCTCCAGTAGAGAGGTTCGAATGAGGGTACCAACTTTTTTCTGTAGTCTATTTTAGTACGGGAACCCTCCCAACCAAAAAGGGTGAACGGGCACCTAGCTGGGGGATCTAGGTGTTGATGTGCTCCAGTTCTACCATCACTGGGGAAAACAAAAACACACCTCCAGAAAGTCCAGGCTGATTCATCCAGGCTGAAGGCTGAATTTGCCAACTTTTTTTTTGGGAGACCCATAAAACGGATTTCAGCGCGTTCCTTTTGGTTTCCGTGTACACCCAACCGAACAAAAACTACCAACTCAGATCGACCGAGTTTCCGCGCTTTTTCCTCAAGCTGCTTCGCAGCCGAGCGACACGCTCTCGATCCATCCAGAGGCCAAGAGACGAATTGCAATCCCTGCGGTTCCCTCGTGGAAAAGCCACGGTTTGCCCATCCGCCTTGAAACAAACCATGTTGAGCTTCAATTCTTCAATTGGGGTTGACCAATATATTCCATTTAGGCCCCGAATAATCATGATGGTAAGGTTTTTTTCCATGTGGGGACATATCATGATTTTAGAAGTGTGTGTGTGTGTTTTTTGAATGGTCATCCCAGAAAGGACCTTTTGATCTACCCCAAAGTAAGCCTTTCCGAATCTTATGGGCTCTGGCAGCGTGCACGTTGCCGAGATTTCTCAGCTTGGGGCACAACTCCTACATAGCGACGGCAACCGCCCGTGCAGCGAAGATCGTTGGACTTTAGGGTTGCTCAAAACAAGTCACCCAAATGCATCCGTAGGGCACCACAAGACCATCTGGCAGAAAGGGATCACATGGGTTTCTAGATAGCCCACCTGAACACTACACACCCAGCCCTAGACACAAAAACAGGTGCCCTTTGACCGAGCCCTGAGGAGTCTATGGGTCCGGGATAGTCTTTTTGTCAAGGAGCAAAAGCAAACAAGCAAACTCCCATCGCAAGCCCCACTGGAAGGACTCTCGAATCTCTGTTAGAAAAGCTTCTGATCGAAGGGTTCAGCTCGAGTCTGGGTGCCAGGGGGCCTGATTTTGTTGCTCCTCACCTTTTTGTTGCTTGACAAGTCTGGCATGTTCACCCCGCATGTTCACCCCGCATGTTCACTTGCAAAAAAAATGGGAACCACATTTTGAAGACCGAAAGGAAGATGTCTGGTTGCCTCCACAAAGGGTAACTGGGTTCCTCCTGGCTTCCTCGATGTTCAACCCCATCTGAGTGCAAGGATGGCTCGGATGTTGCCAACTGACCCGGTTGAGGGATGGCAACCACGCATCGTTCATACCTGCTCTACTTTCTTCTTGGAGGGGCGTGAAGAAACATGATTGCTATTGATTGCACCCAGCAACAAACCAAAAACACCAATTGGAAAGGCTTCGCATCAAGTGCTCATAACTTCATCGCATACCCGGCGGTCACTCTCCGGCTGATAACTGGTGGGTGAGACACCTGAGCAGCAGCCAAATCCACTTTCCGCCTACCATTGATTGATTTTTTTGATCGGCTCGCTTCCTGAAAGGATTGGCCAAGAAACAGTCCAAACTTGTTGTTCGCGAACATGGTCTTCTGGAGAAGCATTGTCCAGCTCAGGAAGTGGAGTTCTGCGATTGATTAGCTGTGAAGATGGAATTGACCGGTCATTGTAGACAGTCATGGAAACCCCAGTGTGTGAATGGGATTCTCTCTACACAGGATTTGTAACGTTTGCCTGTATGTGCTGTCTTGTTTGCTGCGGGGGTGGTGAGGAGCAAGCACACATATGTCGGATCGATCACAATTTCAGGCATGCAGGATTCACTTCCATGGATTTATGTTGTCTAGATGCAGCCAAACCTCTTAGCCCTCTAATACTTTAGGCAGGATGCTGCATTACAGGGATTCATTCATGTCCGGATACTCCTCGCAAATTAACATGGAACTCAACAAAGGCTTAACCGCGAGAGGAGATTGCTCTAAACCGTATTGGTTTGTTGGGTTCCACACTGATCTGCAGGGCAGTTAAAAACACGCACCCCGGCCCTGGGGCCAAACGGGCGATAGGCACTGTCCATATGCAACTCCCCAGTGGTTGGATCCATTTCGCAGCACTGAGATGAACCCCAAACTTGGGATAGAAACCGGAGAGAAACCACCAACGAGGCGAAATTCATGTTGTCCATCCACAGTATCCGTTTTGTTTTTGAGTTTGCCTCGATGGTCGCCCTAGGCCCCGGTTGACGTTGGAAGGGGAGCAAGAATTGATTTAAACTTTAGCAGTCAAGTGGGGATTTTCCATTAAACCACAATAAGCAAACATGTAAAAACTGCTTCTCAGCAACAACCATGTAAATCAGCTTCCCCGAATTGGTGGCTTGGTTTGGCGTGTTTCCCAACAACAACCACGAGGCCGTCGTTTTGCTCAGAAAAGGCCGCCTTGCCCGTCTCCCAGACTGCCCGAAAGGCTCCGTCTGGCACAGAACCGGAAAAGCGCGTGAAGTCCTGGATATGTCCCTGAGACTTGTTTCTCAGGAGTATGTTCCGTGTGAAACCTGGCTTCTCCAGATACCCACATCCCCTGCAAAAAAAAACAACTTTTAGAGGGTTAGATGGAAACCCCCACTATCAAGCAAACTACAAACCCAAAACCTCTGTCTCGCTTGGGGAAAAGGGGGGAGCAAGGTGCTCCATTCCAGTCTCCAAAGCACAATGTATGACCCATAAATCAAATTTTGTGAAGTGCCAACAAGCCACGATAGTGTTCGGAATGAGTAAATCATTCAGCTCTCTGGTATATCCGAAAAGTCCTCTGCACTTCGACTTAAAAAGCAGAGAGACAAAAGGCCAAGAAGTCACTATAGTAGGAAACCCGCGAGAGAAACATGTTCTGCCGTCCTGAAAGGGCAGTTCCCGTGGTTGCCTATACAGGGAAACGGGTGTATGTGTTTCTTCTTTTCTTTTTTTTTATTTTTTTTTGGGGGGGGGTACCCTTTTGACCTTGGTTTTAAGGGAAACGAAAATGATCACCAGGTCCGGGGTTCCCTTTGGCGATGTCCAAATGGACTCACAGCGTGTTTGAATGCTTGCCATCCGATCGCACGCCTTTTGGGCTCCGGGTGTGGGGCCGTGGTGCACGCGCCAGTGCCGGACAGAAGAGGCCGGCGCGGTTCTGCTAAAGAGCGCGGAGGTTGTCACTTCAGCTACCGGAAATGCCAAGGGAGCCCAGGCGTTTCGCCACTGCAGAGGTAACCAGCCATTCTCCTTTTCGCTCTTCAAGCGCGCTTTCCTTGCGCAAACCTACTATACCATACATGTGAAATGGAATCATTGGGGGAATGCTTGCTCCGCTCCTTCCGCCGGCGCTGGCCTACCGAGCGCCGGTGGAGGCTCCCCAGATTTCCAAACTGGAAGTCGACAGCCCCAGGCAGACGTCTAACATGAATAAGAACAACGGGAATCTGGGGGCCCCAAGATTCACCGATTCGCGCGCCGGTAGAGAAAAAACAAGCGGCGCTTAGCACGCCGTGTCCAGTTCACGACGATGGGCCTGTGCCAGTTCATTCGGCGGCAGTACCTGGGCGCTGAGTGCAAGCAATCCGCACACACACATAGCCAAATATATATATATATATATATATATATATGTACATATATGTACACATATGAGCACACCCATGCAAATTCATTCGGAACCTGAAACACCCCATTGTCTTTGGAGGCGCGTTTTTGGTGGACCCCTTTTTGCTTGCCATGTTGCATTGTCTGACAGTGCCACTATATGAATGTCTGCCTGACTGTCTGTGCGTCAGTTTGCTTGCCTTCCTGCCTGTCTGCCTGCCTGCCTGTCTGCCTGTCTGCCTGTCTGTCCGATTGTACACACAAAGTCTGCTTGTCGGTCGGTCTCGGTGTCCTTCTCTGTCTCCCTGTCTGTCTGTTTGCCTGCCTGCATGCCTTGCTGCCTGCCTGTCTGCCTGTCTGTCCGTCTGTCTGCTTGTCGTGCTGTCTGTCCGCACATATCTACCTGTGCGCGTATGCCATGGATGTATCATGTATGGATGTGTGGTGTATGCACATACAACCGTAGGACCCCACGATCGCTAACAAAAAACGCTGGGCATGTACGAGTATGTGTATGAGTATGACTCTATGAGTGTCTAGCGCCAACTCACTTTCTGAGTTCATACCCGATCCCGGCAGCTTGGGACATAGGAACCCGGATGGTGCCAGAGCCGGTGAATCTTTGGGTCGGAGCTCCACCATTTTGTTTGGCTTTCTTTTTGGTGAAGCCAAGTGAACAGGGTACACTCAAAACAGCACACACACACACATTTGCCGTGCTCCCAACTGGGAACTTGGTGAGCTGTCACCATTCGCTAATGGCAATTTGGTCTGTGTGGGTTTTTGCGCTCCATGTCATTGCCCTTACTACAGCAAATGGCGGTAGATATGGACCGTGGCTCAAAAAACGCGACCAAAAACTGCTAGTGACAAGACAGCCCGTTCCTTTACCTCCGAATCTTTCGCCGAAACTAGAACCAAAGGATAGGCATCAGCCCTTTTAGTCACCCAAAGGAACCACTTGCCCCTGCAACAGAGGGAGAAAGATCGTGCAACATCTAGGCATCAAGACGCTGGATACCTGCAACCCACGGAAACAGCAATCTACGGAAAAAAACATCAATCTGTCGGTTTGTGGTATACATTTGGATGACTACATCAGGGAAACTGACTACATCAGGGAGACAAAAAACACAAAACAACGAGATACAACTTTACTCCCCACAGGTGAAAAAGTGAGCCATGGTCAAAACTGGGGGCCCTAAATGGAATCTCAGATGCTCAGCGGATTTCCATGGGAAAAAAGTATCGGCATCCTTTTTGGTTGGTTGTTAAAGGAATCGAACCCTTTCCCAAAAAAAGAGGGAAAAAAGGGGCGGATTCCACCGGGAACCTGGGGAATATTTTGACTAGCTCCTCCAGCAGAGGTTAGCATAAGGGTACCCACTTTTTCTCTGTCTATTTTAGTAGGGGAGCTTCTTCCCAAAAAAGAAGCTTACCAATTGCTGGGGGACCTTGATCTTTGGATCTCGAGCCCCGGCCCCGCATCGACAAGCCGCCCTCCGTGGGCTCCTAGCGAGACGTTGCGAGGCTCCGAGTGGGACGTGGCCGGCCCATGGGCCGCGAAAACACGCCCCGACCTCTTGGCAGGGCCCAAAACCTCCCCCAAAACCCCCCCCCCCCCCCTATTGTACAC